GGCTGAATCTTGTGAGCTGCCTTGACCACTATACAGTGAACTATCTGGTCCACTGTCCCTTGGTAGATCCAGGTGACATTTTGATATGGTGAAAGAAAGCCTCCACAGGATGAACTAGCTGTCTAACATGCTTTTCAGTGAACCCACAAAACCTGATGTTATGCAAGGAGATCAAGTGATTAATACAATGTTTTGGTATGATCCATTCTTGACTTGAAAGCCATCCTTGGCTCCATCCAGGAATGATGACAATGGATTGAGTACCAGGAAAAACCATAGTAGGCTTGCACTATCTCCCCGGAAGATGATGCTTACATTGATTATTCTTGAAATTCTTGTCGGTGGCATGTTTTAAATGGGAACTTTTTCTTTTCACGTAGACAACAAATACTTAAGCGTTTTCATTATGCTTAGATCTGTTCAATGTATTTTATTAAAACTATAAATGCAAAACTAAATCAAACATTTACAATAATTAATAAAAAGTAATAATTAATAAAATTAATTACAATAGACAATAATTAATTACAATAATTAATAACAAATTTAAAATAAATAATTAATAAAGGCAGTATAAATGCAATAACACTTTTGGGTGGCTTATTCAAAAATCAACTAACTGACAAGTGATATTTATACCGGAACTTTTTGGCACTTCAGACAATACATTGGTTTCCTATATTCATAGACTTTTTTGAGTGCTACAAGCTACAAATACTTTAGGTAAGGTACATAAACATATAATTGACTTACCAATGGAAGGGTTACCAGTGTTCTCATCTTTTGGCAATAAGTAGATGATGGCTTCTATTTGAAAAAAATGGATCAGATTTGCATCAGAGAGAAAAATGGCACAGTGTTCTGCTAAGCTTTATATCAGTAGGGTCAAACTCCAATAGAAACAGGTACCACTAACCATACGTAAGGATCCTTATGGGCCTCATATTAATTTAGTTTTTAAATATAATGTTATCTATGTTTTATTGTATTTTTATTTTTTTTAATATTTCCAGAATATATTTTAATCTCATTTGGGGTAAGGTCTGGAATGTTGCAAGTTGCAGCCATAAGCCACATATTTAACATTTCTAACCTACATAATAGAGATTTGCATTTTTCATAGCATTCCTCTCCTGGTCTGCAGTGTATATAGATATGGTAAAAAAAAAAATGAGAAAAAAGAAAAAGACAAACTGATATCATATTCACTGCCAGATCAATAAGAATATACGCTGATTTACTAAGTAAATACTTACTACTCCCCAAGAAAAGTACTTTGCTAGTAATCCATGCATTACTGTGAAGCATTTGAGCCAACAATTACAGATCTTATCCGTATCTGTTGCTTTCCAGTTTTACAGAGACTCGAGGTTCAGTCTCTTCTCTTATGCTATCATTCATTATATTAATGGTATACAAGTTTTTGTTTTGGAATAGCTCCATCATTTTTGGCCATAGAGTTGACCAGCAATTTTCTACATCTTCCTTCCTTCCTTCTTTGGGTGTTCACTTTTCTATTTTTTTTTCACTTTTCAAAGCTCCATCATGTGGTTTTTTTTGTAATTGATGTTGAATTATTTTGTTTTATGCTGCTTTGACTTCTTGTATTGTGTTTTCTGTTCTTCATATTTCATTGGCAGACAAGATGGCATTCAAGTTCACCATTGCCTGTGGTAGCTAGATATTAATGTCATCTTCCTTCTTTTTTCTGTAGGTCTTCAGTAGTTTTCTGAGGTCACTTCAGCAAGGGTTGTATCTGATGCATATTTTAGGAACTTTCCTGGATAGCTCCACTTTTCCTTAGATAATCCTTATTATGGCAATGGCTCCCTGTCAGGAGGTGGGCAACATACTTCATTATGGGTCCTCTGGTATTATGGTTGGATGTTATTGCATGCCTTCAAGTTCTTCAATGCACCAAATGTCAAGTCTTTTAAGTATGGTCATATGTTGTCCCTAAATTGTCCAGGATGCAGACTCAGTGTTCTGTGGGGCCTTAAGGTATACCCTCCACCCCCATCCATTAACCTAGAAATCAAGACATTTACCATTGTGATTTGGGACCATGATATTGCCACCCAAAGTTAAAAGAAGTTATACTTAAGAATTTCAGACTTTTTGACCTATTCAGACTATGCAATTAAGTGGTTGAAAGCATGTAAAATACCATGGCAGAATGTAAAAAAAAAAAAACCTAGCACCTAATAAAGAACTAGAATAAAACAGTCAGGTGGTTTTCAATATATGCTAAATATTGGCTATAGTTTATATACTAACTGATTACAAATCCTCTTACAAACCCCTATATATCCTTGAAAGCAAGGAATCTTTTTTGCCTTTTTTTAGCACTGAGTACAACACACAGTAGGTGCTTAATAAATGCTTGTTTACTGACTAAATCAACTGTATTGATCATCGACATAAACTAAACTGTTGGCCAAAACCACCTAGCTATGACATTACTCAGATATTTAAATGCATTTGTGATCCTACTGATTTAGAAGTATCCTCCAACAAGAAAAATCACAGCCCATCATAAACACTTTTCTCTCCTATGAGATTCTTGTACATGTTCTCCTATAAGTTTAAAGAATTCATTCAATGTTCTGGAAGCCTTCCTTGGTTTTTGCCTGATATGGTAAAGATGCCAGTGGAAACTCCTGACAATCATTTATCCACCTCCCAGTAGCTCAGAGAACATTAAATTGTAGCATCATAGTGACTTCTCCTTAACTGTTTCTACCTGCATGCTTTCAAAGAAGATGAGAAGCCAACTCCACTCAAATGGTGAAGTGAGTGGACACAGAACAGCCTACCTCCCTCACAACTACTCTGGTAAGGACAAAGCAAGATTGTGGAACCAAGAAATGACCAAGAAATCTAGGGAGAAACTACAGGAAGCACATTTTGCCAATTCAGATCTATTCAAAGGAAGTTTACAGACACTAAGGATGGAGTACAAACAGAAAAGCCTGGTCAGGAACTGAGTACTTGGAAGCCATCCAGCCCAGGAGCAGGGACACTAAGGGACTGAAGTCATATGCCAAGAACAAGGAAATGGGGCCCCCCAGACAAAGAAACAGCCAAGGATGCCTAGAGTCTGCATCTGTGTCATTTTGATTCCAATCTGGGATTCAGAAACCTTCAGGATTTAGAACAGGGGATCTCTGATTAGGGTCCTCTCTCCATCAGTCTAAGCACCAATAGCCTTGTGTGGACCACCATAGTAAGGGCTGCCCTGCATACATTATGTACACAGCCATTTTTTTGACACTGCCTCTGAGCAGCACACTGACCAGACATTCATGAGATACTCAGAGTACAGAACTCATTACCCACACTCTAATTGCTGAAAATAAAAGAGAATAATAAAATAGAAAGCAAAGAAAAATTGAATTGATAAAAGTGGAGCTGGTTTACTGGGGAGCAGCCAGTACTCAATAAAGCCAAGAGCCTCAGCTACTGTAGTAAGAAGTCACTATTCAACAAAAATACCAGGACAACTGCAAGGCACTCTGGCAGAAATGAGTTTTAGACCAGTGGTTCTTAACCTGGGGTTTTCCAAAAGGTCCATGGATAGATTTTAGGGGATCTAGGAACTCAAATAGGAAAAAAAAAATCATCTTTGTTTTCACTAATTTTTAGTTTCCTTTCTAATCCTAGAGGTATTTTATGCATTAGAAATATTATTCTGGGAAGACTTCATTAGGTTCCCAAAGGGGTTCATGATATAAAAAAATAGTTATGCACCCTGGGTTTAGGCCAACATTTCATACGGCATATCGATAAAAGCTCTAAGTGAATACATGATATAGACATAAAAGGTCACAGTATTTGAAAAAAAAAATAGGGGAATAAGGAAGAAAATACTTTTTTGCCACTACAGACAAGAAAATAAAATTGACAATTTTAATTATGAAAATTAAATTCTTTCCACAAAATCAATATATTTAAAATCAGAAGGAAAATGATTAACTGGAGAAAAATTTTAAAGTTTTTCTTGCAAATTTTTGATATCCAAGTTATCTCCAGTAGATTCAAATAATGCACATTTAATTAGCTTTTTCAACTTTGCAAAACATCATCATCCCACTTGATCCAAACAAAAACCCATGAGAGAGGTATTCCTCTTATCCCAATTTTACAGAAGAGGGAATTGAGGCTGAAAAATTTTAAATGACTTGCCCAAGATCACACAACTAAGTAAGCCTCTGAGGTGGTATATGAAGTCAGGTCATCTTGATACCACGTCCAACATTCTAACAACTGGCCAATCGGGCCTCCTATAGAGGGTGCTACTTGAAAGTTGGTAATGATTCCAAGAGGAAGAAGCGGGGAGGAAGGACAGCCCAAGCAGGGCGTGAAAGCCTAGGATACTGCATGAAGGCAGGAGGCGGAATGTCATGTGAGGGAATGCCCATTGAGCAGGCCATTTGGGTTGGAACTTAAAGTGGGTGAGGTTGAGCAGTAGTCTTTATCCAGCCATGAATGATCATGTAGAGTCACATTATAAAGGATGTAAATGCCAGAGATTTCTTGAATGGTGTGGTGGCACAGTCAGGAAAAAACTATTTGGTAAGTGATTAAACAAATGAGCATATGTGAATTGAATGAAAAGTTGTCTGGCACAAGAAATGATGAGTACTAAGACTGAACAAATATTAGAAGCCTTACCTGAAGTGACATACAGTGAAGAAAGTAGAAAGGAAAGAACTACAAAGCAACTGACCAATTATATATACATATATATACATATATATATATATATATATAAAGATCTCAACAATGACAATAAAATCCATGTCTCTATACACATACAGAAAAAGGAGCTTAGTAGGGGCTCTGGAAACAAATAGGATGAGCTGGTTAATGACTTGTTAAAGTTACATAACTCTTATTTTGTTTGCCTTGGCAGAGGATAATCTAAAAAGTCTGCAAATAACAAAAGTTGACAGCAACATTCACAATCGCTTTAAATTTGTGTTTATTCTTTTGTCCTCTTTTCACTGTCAGACTCTTCCCCTAGCCCACCTCCCATGCCTTCTTCACGATGACCTTGGGCTCTCCAAGTTCAGGGCAGAAAAATATAGACTCTGTCCCATCCAACATGACTGGAATGGCTTTGAGTCCATGGTCTGGGCAACAGATGATCTCTTCTAGAAAAATTAAACCAAAACAAATAAACAAACAAAATACTGCAGGCCAATTCACTAAGGAGAATTGGAACCAGATACAGCTAGGAAAAATAAAACATCCAAAAGGCCAGGACCCAAAAGACATATATTTCACAGCACAGATGTTGGAGATCTTTATTTCTTCCCCAATCTGTGATTTCATCACTACAGGGAGTAGCCAGTTTGGTGTTTCCTCTACGAGAGGGGCACCCTCTCTGTTAACTTACACTCTAAGAAAGTTGCTTAGAATGCTGAGAGATTATGATTTGCTGAGGGTAATGCAAATGGCACATAGGGAAGGCAGACCCTGAACCCAGGCCTTATTTCTCTTGCCCATTTGTACTGGGAGAAATAAATAAACAGATAGAAACCAACATAACTCTGAGTCCAGCTCTCTGTTATATCACATCACCTTTTTCATTGTTGGGTTCATTTTAGTGTGATAGTTGAAAATGCTCATTTGAAGGTCAAAATAAGTACAATGAATGCTTCACCAGCATTCAGATGCATATGGAGGAGCTGGATGGCACAGTAAAGACAGTCTTGGATGTCAAGAATACCTAATTTCAGAACCAGCATCAGACACTCACTAGTTGTGTGATGCTCAGCAAATCATACCTGTCTGCTCCATTTTCTCATCTGTAAAATGGGGATACTATTAACATCTACTTCCCAGGTTATTGTGAAGATCAAATGAAATAATATATTATATGGCCTATTTCACTATGTACATATACATAAAGCATTGTTGCAAGTTGTTGGAAGTTTTCATCAAGTTAAGAAGTTAACTCATAATGAGCAGTTATCCCATAATAATGTTCACAAACCATAGTAAGAGGTCAGAGGTTTGGAGGACCCCCACATCAAAGCTTTTCATCCAAGAGGTTATTTTATTTTTAAAGACCATTCTAAAGAGCTGATAACCAAATTATAGCAATATCTGATGTATATAGCACCTTAAGGTTTGCAAAACACACACAAACATACAGACATACATATATGTAGATATGTAGATACAGATATAATTTTAAACTTTACCACAACTTTATGTCATGATATTATCTTCATTTTTAGAAGGAGCAAACTGAGGCATAGGAACTTTAAATCCCATGCATACTAGGTGCCCAAAGCAGGATTAGAACCCATGTTTTTCCTAATTCCAGATCCAGCATTTTGCCACTTTGTCAATCTACCTCTAAAAAGCGAAGAAAGGAAAGAAGGAAAGAGGAAAGGAAGGAAAAGAGGAAGAAAAGGAGAGAGGAAGGGACTACAGAGAGGGAGGAAGGAAAGCAGGATGGAAGGATGGAAGGGAGGGAAAAAGGGGTGAAAGGAGGAAAAACCAAAAAACCTAGAAATTCACTTCAACAAGCAGTTGCCTTGGATAGGATAAAATGACCAAAAAAAGTCTCTGCCTCCAAAAGGTTCACATTCTCATGGGGGTACAACATGCAAACAGGCAAATAACTATAACTTATATAAAAAGTAAATTCAGAGTAACTGAGAAGCTAACAAGTAGAGGAAAGGGGAAAGGCCTTTTGTAGAAGGGACAACCGGAGGATCCCTAGGAATTCTAAGATTTTTTTTTCTTGAAAGTAATGTTATTATCCACATTTTACTCACATTTTCAATGCTCTGGACCACTGCAGTGTAGCTCTAAAGAAAAGCAAAAAAGGAGCACAGAGTATTTTAAAAAGCAAAATAATTATGATAAATGATTAAAATTGAGAGAATAGAACTTTACAAGAAAAGCTATTCAGACCAATAGCACTGATCTAATCATTTGGAACTAACAGCATTTGTAGCATTCAAGCAACAAGAAGAAACAGAACTAATGCTCGAGGCCTCCAGATCTTCTGTTCTCGCTCTGTCTCGTGTTCTTCTTCTTCTTCTTTCTTCCTCTCCCTCCCTCTCTTTGTGTTTAGTTACCTGTCCCTCTGAGTGAATTTGTCCAACTTTCTCCCCTTGCTACTTTTGTCCTGTCCCTCTGTTTTCTGCTTTGTGTCTTCCGTTTTTTCCTTTGTCTCTGTCTCCGTCTCTGTTCCCATTTCTCTGTCTCTGTCTCTCTCTGTCTCTCTCTCCCCCCCACCCCCACCTCTCAATCACACCTAAGGTCCTCTCTACCTTATAAAATTCTGGAATATTCTAAGATTTGGAGAAGGGGAGGATTTAATGTAGAGATAAATTTCTCTCAGAAGAGATATGGTCATTTGTTTATTTTAATTTACTTCCTACTTTCTAATCATCTCCTCTTTCGTGTTACATAGACATAGAGCAAAAGTACAAATAAAATTCAGCTCATTTAAAACGCATATTAAAAAAATTAAAGGTATTCTGTCTGGAAAAAAGTAAACTGTCTAAGATGGAAGGGTGGTGGCCCAAAACCTCTTCCAATGGGAAGATAGACTAAGAGACAGCTTAAAGCTCTGTCAACTAATCAACAAGCTTATTCTGTTGGGGGCATTGTGCTAGGTTAGGGATCCCAATTTTTTTTTAAATGCGTTGAAAGTTTTTGACCTGCCTCAAAAATGACTTCTTCCCATTGAGGAAGAACAGTGCTGAATCTCTACCAGCTCCAACATACGGGTTGTTATTAGGAAGCACCTGGAGTAGCCTGAAGTCAAAGCATGCGACAGAAGATGGTTTCCAAAGAGAAGAGGCCAGCAGCAAAGTCCCCCTGAGCCAGAAGGAAATGACGGGTTTCCAGCATGACAACCGATCACAAAAGCACATCAAAAAAAGAAAAAAAAAACAGTGGAACAAAAGAAGGTGAGAGGCAGCGTTCTTAAGGTTTTACACACACATGTACTCGTGCTTACACACACACACAAGACATAGAGCATTCTGCAGGGGAACAAAATTGAGTAGAACAAGGGAGCTTGAGGACTAGTGTTAATTGCATAGTGGGGGGAATTTGTGCAAGAATACTCATCGCTGAGTCATACACAGCACTCTAAAAGTTACAAAGCACTGGGCACATATTCCGTGATGAGACTCATGACAACCCTCTGAGGTAGGAACTGCAGGTATTACTATTCTCATTTTGCAGATTGCAAACTGAGACATCTAAACATCTGAAATCAAGCATCTGAGGTGGGACTGAATACAGGTTTTCACTTTAACTTCAACTTACAATTCACAAAACCAAGGGACTGCAAACCTTTTGTGTCATGGATCCCTTTGGCAGGTTGGTGACATCTCCAGATGCTTTCTCCAAATAATGATTTTAAATAATTGAGAGAAATTCCAACTGATCAGTTAGAAGTTAGTAGAAATAAAGATGCAGTTTTTTGCATCTACATTCATGGGTTCTCTGAAATCTATCCATAGACCAGTGGACCCCATGTTAATACGTATTCATCCACTGGGCCAGTGACTTACAGGAAATGTATAGAAATTAGGAGACCAGGTCATGCCATTGCCACCAAGAAGCTATAGATGTCACATGCACTCTTTAGATTTCAGTTTCCCAGCCTATGAAATGAAGTATATGAACAGGACAACAATACAAAGTGATCCCCACTTCACCATTCACTATGAGATTGTGAGCTTCTCTATGGCAGGGGCTATCTTTTGTCTTTCTTTTTGTCCCCAGCACTTAGTACAATTCCTGGTACATGGTAAGCACTTAATCAATATCTATTAACTGACTAGCCCTAATTTATCAGTTTTATTTTTGTGTTACTATGGTTAGGCTTTGTCAGATGGGGATAGGAAGGAAGGGCTGACTGGCTGAGAGACTACAGTGAATCACAAGCATTTATCTATCTATCTATGCATTTATCTGTTTATTATTTATTGCAGAGAGCTACAACTTTGCCAAATAAAATGAATCAATACATTCTGGAGTAAATATTTCAAATTCTAAATCAACTAATCAAAGAAATAACAACAAACATTTATTTAGCACTAACTATATTTCAGACACTGTGCTGAGTGTGAAGGGCACAAAGAAAAGTAAAAAGAGTTTACATTCTAATTGAAAGTCAACATGGATATAGGTACATTCAGGATACAAACACAATAGCTAGAAGGTAGACTTAGAGGTGATGACTGGGGACCCTGGGAAGGGGAGGGGGTGTGACCAGCAGGGGTATAGCAGAAGGGAGAGTGTGAGCAAAGTCTTAAAGGAAGCCATGGGTTCTAAGAGGCAGAGCTGAGGATGGAGAGCCTTCTAAACATGGAGAATAGCTAGAGCAAGAACACAGGGATGGGAAATGGGGCATCTTGTGCAAGAAATACCAAGCAGACCAATTTGCCTGGATCATAGAGTTCAGGGAGGGTGCGAGGTATACAAAGACTAGAAAGTTAGGAAGGAGCCAGCTTGGGAAGAACTTTATTGCTAAGTAAATGGTTATCTCTATGATCTAAAAGTTTAATTACTGGGGGCTGGTTTTGTACACAGAAACACATTGGCAGGGTATTGGATAGCTAATGAAGTATGAAGAGCTATAAGCAAAGCCTCAAAAAAATGTGAATTGGACATTAAGCCTAACAAGAATTCCCAAATTCTAAATGAATTTTTAAAGTTCTAAAAGAGTTTAAAATTTTTATTTTCAAAATCAAATAAGAGTGGTCAAGAAAAAAAATTAGGTAAGGAAATGAAAGCAAAGGAATACAATTAACAGCTTGGTAAAAGAGGCACAAAAATATTGAAGAAAATACCTTATAAACAGAACTGGCCAAATGGAAAAAGAGATGCAAAATTTCACTGATGAAAATAATTCCTTAAAAAGCAAAATTGGCCAATTGAAAAAAAAAAAGGTATAAAAGCTCACTGAAGAAAATAATGCCTTAGAGTTTAGAACTGGGAAACTGGAAGCTAATCACTCTAAAACACATCAAGAAACAATAAAACAAAGCCAAAAAAAATCATAGGGAAAATGTACCTCTCAGACTTATGGATAAGGGAAGAGTTTATGACCAAACAAGGGATAGAGAGGATGACAGGAAATAAAATGGATAATTTTGATTCCATGAAATGAAAAAGCTTTTGCAAAAACAAAACCAATGCAGCTGAAATTAGAAGGAAAACAGGGGAAAATGCAGCAAGTTTCTATAAAGGCCTCATTTTTTTTTAATATATAAGGAATTGAGCCAAATTTATGAAGAAGGAGGAGTAAGAGGAGGAAGAGGAAGGGGAAAAGGAGGAGGAGGAGAAAAGCCATTCCCCAGTTGTTAAATGGTCAAAGGATATGAACAGTTTTCAGTGGGAGAAATCAAAGCTATCAATAGCCACATGAAAAAATGTTCTAAATCACTACTGATTAGAGAAACACAAATTAAAACAACTCTGAGGTAGCACCTCACACCTATCAAATTGGTTAACACGGCCAAAAAGGAAAATAACAAAAGTTGAAGTGGATGGGTATGGGAAAATTGGGACACTAACGACCCTGTTGGTGGAGTTGTGAACTAATAAAACCTTTCTGGAGAACAATTTGGAACTACACTCAAAAGGTTTTAAAACTATGCATAACCTTTCACCCAGAAATACCACTACTGGGTCTGCATTCCAAAAAAGATAAAAGAAATGGAAAAGGACCTATCTGTACAAAAACACTTACAGCAGTTCTTTTTATGTTGACAAGAATTGGAAATTGATGGGATACCCATTAGTTGGAGAACGGCTGAACAAGTGGTGATACATGATTTTGGTGGAATACTATTGGAATACTATAAGAAATGATGAGCAGGATTCTTTCAGAAAGACCTGTGAAGACATATATGAACTCATGCAAAGTGAAGTGAGCAGAACCACACGGTACACAGTAACAGCAATATTGTAAGGATGATCATCTGTGAAAGACGTAGCTCATCTGATCAAGACAATGATCAAAGACAATTCCAAAGGACTCATGATGAAAAATGTTATCCACCTCCAGGGAGCTGATGAACTCTAAATGCCCATTGAAACATACTTTTTAAACTTTTTTCTTGTTTTTTTTTTGTCTTTGTTATCTTTTGCAATATGGCTAATAAGGAAATATGCTTTGCATGATTTCACATGTATAATCAATATCAAATTGCTTCCTTTCTCAAGGAAGGAGGAGGGACGATAGAGAGAGAGAATTTGAAACTCAAAATTAAAAAACTGTTAATTTTTTACAAGTAATTAATGGGAAATATTTAATGAAATTATATATGTATATGAAAAAATTAAAGAATAGATTGAGGAGAGTTAATAGTTATTGGACTACCTAAAAGCCATGAATAAAAACATGCTGAGATAACATATTTCAATAAATTATAAAGAAAAACTGCCCAGATAGCTTAGAACCAGAGAACAAAATAGATATTGAAAGAACCCACCAATAATAGTCCTTGACCCTTTGTCCTTGTACACCTCCTCCTAGCTGATAGAAGATAAAGGAAAAAATGAATCAGGGAAGGTTTTTCAGGCTGCAGAGCTCGCTGAGCTTACCTCAGCAGCCACTGGGGTCAGAGTGAGAAGAGAGAATGCTGGAGGTTGGCACACCCATAACTGGCCACACTATGGTGGGGCATCTCTAATCAGGCCTGGTCCATACTCCCTTATGCCATTATGGATACGCTCTAAGTCATAGTGTTCCAGGTCATTTCATGACCCTCACAGTTTTATTAGGTCTGTGTCAGAACTTCTTTCTCCTCGGCCCACTCAACTGCAATGCCAGTTG